GTGGGGGTCATTGGCTCACCTGTTGTGAATTTTGTCATGTGGAAATACACAGCTGTCATCGATTCCTCAACTTGTGATCGATATTTCTGCATGAAGACAGTAGTGCCAGTTGTATAATGAGATATACTTATTTATATCTGCCCTTCCCCCCTCCCCTTTTCTGAGAAAATCAAACCCACTGAAATTCAACCATCTTAAACCAAAGGACAACTTAGCGCTGGATGTTTGATGATTTTGGTTTCTCCGTTTGCGAAAGAGAAAATCATTCTTTAAAAATGTTTGTAGGTGAGCAATTGTAATACGAATTCTGGTTTCACACTTTCTGAGCAATTGTACCAGTCACTCACTGAGTGTTTGTGAATTCTTTTGTTTCTCCTGAGGATTCGGTGTTGCTATTGTTAAGTGCCATAAAGTCGACTCTGACTCATAGCAACCCTGTATAGGGTTTCCAAGGAGCAGCTAGTGGGTTTGAACTGCCGACCTTGTGGTTCGCAGTCCAGTGCTGATTCTTTTCGTTGTGCATGCATCAATTTGCAAGATGTCTGGAGGCATGGAAGAACCTGGATTTGAGCCCGTTTACTACTAAGAGAGAGGCCAAGTCCCCAGCACAGCTCATCTGCTCAGCTTAGCACCAGGAGGAGGGTGTCCTTGGGCTTCGTTTTCAGACATGAGAGTGACCACTTCAGCAGCAGGACCACCACCAGAAAGCTGTGCTAGACCAGGGTCTAGTCATCAGTGTGTGGCTGCAGAAATGCAAGCTTGTCAACACATCAGCTGGATCCGGTTTTCCCATGATCCTCCAGCCGACCCACCAGTCCGATCATTTGTCTTGAGACCCCCTGCTGTGCGGCAGGCCCAGTGACCTCCCTCCACACAGATGTGAGTGACCACAAAAGTGCAGGAGGAGAGAGAGGGTCTACTGGCCTACTGTGTTTTTACACAGAAAATGCACACCTTCTACTTGGGACAGCTGTGCCCTCTTCCTTCTCAAGTACCACCATATCAGGTGTTTTTGTTTTTGTTTTTCACATGTTGCTGTTTTTTTCCCTTGTTGTTGTTGTTTTTTTCAGTAGCCTTGCATACTTAGGAAATTACCTCCTGGTGAGAGGGGACAGTTAGCTGACAAGTGTAAAAGATGCTCTTTATTTGCATTAAAATAGGGTGCTAGATAAAGGTCCCAGAGGAACTTAGCAAGGGTCTTGATCTGACAACCAGGAAAAGAGCCTGGTCTTTTAGTTTCAGGGCATTTTACCCCTCAAGGTCCTAGCTAAACAAGGCCACATTATGTCCAGCTCCCACTTTCTGATGTTGCATGAAAGCTAGACCACCCACATTGTTAAAGCCTTGTTCATCCTGGGCTGGAACATTCTGTCTTTTAAGGTGTAGGTATCTGTTGTCCTTCATTATGTGTTAGCTTGATGAATCAGAATTACTGAAAGGAAGTTTAGTATTTTTTTAAAGTATGCTCCTGTAAGGTAGTTCTCCAAAGAGCCTTTGTCAAAGCTGTAAGTGACTGGGCCCGTTGGCTCTGAAGCAGTACTGTAACTGTGCTTTTACACTGACTGCAAGGGCAGTATACCCGAGTCTCCTGAATGGGACATTGTGAGGACATTGTGCCTCAGCTGCAGTGGACTGTGCCCCATACTGTCCACCTGTTGGTACAGGTGCAGATCAGCCATCTTAATGGAGCTTCACGTCCTCTGTCATTCCCTAACTCATCAAAGCTCTTGCTAGTGACCCTCCATTCCCACTGCTGCTGCTTTTCCCATGTGTGGATACAGGCAGCCCCCCTCACACCGCAGTAATGAGCATGCCTCGGGGAAGCTGATAGGCCATGCTGCTTTAAATACTTACTGCCTGGTATTCTTGCCTCTTGGGAAAATTACAGAGGCAGTGAGGAGATACAGATTGTAATAGTTATTCTTCAAGCAGCATGTTGCCGTTAAGTGCCATCAAGTCACTTCTGACTCATAGTGACCCCCTGTCTAGGGCTTCCGATGAGCGGCTGTTGGGTTTGAGCCACCAACCTTGTGGTTAGCGGTCCAGTGCGTATTCTACAGTGCCACACCAGGACTCCAAAAATGATGCTGATAAGACCTACCACTTACTGTATGTTGTTGTCAAGTGCTGTCAAGTTGGTTATGACTCTCAAGGAGCAGCTGGTGGGTTTGAACCACCAACTTTGCAGTTGAATCTTGCAGACCACTGCTTATCTCCACACCAGGACTACACTTAAGCAGTATGACGTGAGTCCAGGTTTTTTGTGTTGTCATATAGACATGGAGTCTTGGTGTGCATATAGACTGCAAAGTCAGTTTGAACTGTAAGGTTGGCGGTTCAAGTTCACCAGCTGTTTGTTCCTCAGAAACCTATACAGGGTCACTATGGGTTGGAACTGACTCGATGGCACTTAACAACAATACAGAGATTGAATGGATAAAAATTTGTTTGATTTTTGGTATATTTCTTAAATTGGTGACATCTACTTTGTGTCTTACCCTGTGAGAGCAGATACATTTAGCATGAAAGTATGATTTCGATTCAGAGATGGCATGGCTGACCATTGTGCAGTCAGGACATGATGCCAGGGCCAGGACCCCTGGGCTCTTGTCATCACCATTGGCTTGCAAATCAAGTTACTGCAAATGTATCCAATGTTCAAAGATGCCATTCAGCCAGCAATACAAGTTGTGTTTGATACATTTGTCTCATACTTTTGGTGCTTTTGTGTGTATGTGTCTGTGTGTGTGTGTATCTCTGTGTGTGTGTATGTGTCTGTGTGTGTCTCTGTGTGTATATGTATGTATGTGTGTGTGTCTGTGTGTGTGTGTCTGTGTGTGTGTGTGTCTGTGTGTGGGGGGCGGGGGGGAGGCTGCTACTGCTTTTATTTCCCTTTCTTTTTCTGGCTTTCTCTGAAGACTCACTTGGAAAAAGGAGAGATATACCTGCTAGAGGTTCTTTACAGACAGGGACCGTCACCTTCCAGAAGGATCCACCTATGAACTGAAGAGCTGCTCTGGCTCTTTTCTCCTCTCAGTATTTCTTGTCTTGGGATGCTGCTTCTTGAATGAAACCTTCTTAAACACAGACAGGCGTTAACTTCAACAGTGACAGACGAAAGTTAAGAGTATGTAAGCATGTGGGAGCTGTCAGACCCCTGGATCCTCTCTTTGGTTATTTTGGTCCTACTGAAGTATAGTGGGAACATGTTATCGCCAATTAAGTATCAGTTATCAGGGAAAAATATATGTGAGCACAGTTGATCCAAAGAATCATTTTAATATGAGAAACTTGCTTCTTTTTTTTTTTTTTTTTCATTTGTAGAAATTTTCTTTTGCTTTGTGTAATGTGTCATTTGGTTCCATTTTAGAAGGGGTATAAATGAAGCTGTGTGACGCACAAAAGACCCACACCAACCCCCCTGCGGTGGAGTCGATTCCCACTCATACTGCCCCTGTCTGTAGAGCAGAGTAGAACTGACCTCTAGTTTCCAAGGCTGTCCCGGTTACTGACTCCCACTGCCACGTCGTTTTCTCACGGAGCAGCTGGTGGGTTCAAACTTCAGCCAAACACTTAACCTAACCCATTGTACCACCAGAATTCCTCCCCTCCCACCATCACCTCCAAAAACAACCCTCAAAAACACTTTATTTCTGCATTCAATAAAAGATGACATTCCAATCTAGCAGTATGTAGCCATTATGCAATTTAGACTCTTTGAAGTCTATGGACGTCTCTGCACTGCTTTGCACTCAGCAACAGACAGTGGATGTGAGACCACAGTCTCTGCATCTGAAGGACTCGGCAGAGCTGCCCTCTGAAGTGCTTTAGAGCCAGACTTCCATACCTCAGGGAATTCTCTCTGTTTTCCCTCCCTTAGTACTAGTACTACCTGAAGTTTAAGAAATAGGCAAAAGTAAATTTTTTTCCCATGTTGACTGTCCTTAGGCAGATACTTAATAATGTAACCCTGGTTTTCATCCATAATTAAAAACAAAAATAAAAATGTAAACTTAAAATGGAAGACAATTTAAATCCAGAAAGGATTTTTTTTTTTAAGTTACTTTCGTTTTTAATCAGTAGAAATACACGTTCTATAAAAGGAAGGAAAAAATATTTGAGAAATCTGGGGGAAGGTGTATTATTTTTTTATTAAATGTGACAAACTGGATTTTCACATTTTACGTTGGATACCGTTTGCTACCTATTCTAAAAACGTCCTCTTTTTTTTTTATTAAAATGATACGGTGTCAACTGGTTTGTGGCTTTTTTAGAACTCCTCAAGTGAGATGTGGTCTTGTGTTTGTATAAAGGTTATTAAATTTTCATTCCTAATATACACATTACACAAAGCAATGTGTAACTTTCCTTTGGGCCACTAGTAAGATCTCATAGATTTAATATTCATTGTGCAGTTACCCTTCAGTTAAGCTATTTAAAGTTTGTTACAAATGGAGTTGTTGTTGTTAAGTGCTGTCGAGTCAATTCTGACCCTAGCGACCCAGTATAGGGTTTCCAAGGAGCAAGCATCTGGTGAGCTTGAACAGCCGACTTTGCAGTTCAAACGACCGAGTACATCCCTCCAAATAAGTCAGTGTTTCCTAAAATGCATTGTTTAAAGAAGACTCAAAGTAAAGGATGTCAAGGAATCCCATTTCTATTTCTTCAGAATATTAATGTCTTAATGTGTAAGCCAACAACTTTTACTTACTTGCTGGGTACTATCTGAATATATTTAAATAAGAAAACTTAGTTTTATTTATTAAATTAAGGTTTTTACCTAACTACAGAAAGAAAGAAAAAATACATTGAATAAACTTGAAAGTTCATCAGTCAGGCAGAAACCACAAACTAATTTTCTTCTTACTCATTGGACATTGCCAGGTAATATCCTTCCTGTTCAGTTACGAAACAGAAGATATCTAATAAAGCTCGATTGTGTCTTCTTTGGAATGTCTCAAGTCGCCTATTCACACTAACCCTGCCATTTCCCTTCACAGTGCTCCAGCTGAGGCTGCAACAAAGGAGGACAAGAGAGCAACTCGTGGACCAGGGCATCATGCCACGTAAGATCTGCAGTGTCCTTCTCTCTAACGGGACCTGACAAGACAGGCATTCCATGGGGAGCCTGGGTTCACTCTGCTCTCAATTGTGCCTAAGTAACCAACATACAAGACAAAATCAGGCATCAACATTGCCAACCTAAGAGAATCATTTAGAATACATACGTTGATATGTATATATTTTTAATGCCACTTAAAAGATGCACTTGAATTTTATATTCTACAAAGTACATCTTTACAGTTCTGTAATCGGGCTAACGTCAGTTTTTATATCAGGTACCAACATGTTCTTTAGTTTTAAAATAACTGAAGCAGCCACTGTACATAATGGTTCCGAGATTACCAAGACTTGCAGTAACATGATCAAATGAATTCACAACCTTGTGCTATTTTAACTTACTGATTCAGAATAACACCTTTGGTGCTATGTTGTTGTCAGTTTCCATTGAGTCAGTCCAACTCAGAGAGACCCTGTGTACAACAGAGCAAGCTCTGCCCAGTCCTGCACCATCCTCACAGTCTTCGTTAGGTTGGAACCCATAGAGGCAGCCACTCTGCCAAGCAATAGTATGGAGGGTCTTCCTCTTTCTCACTGACCCTCTGCTTTACCAATTATGATGTCCTTCTCCATGGACTGGTCCCTTTTGATAAAAGATCTAGATTACGTGAGATGAAGTCTCCCCATCCGTGCTTCTAAGGAACCTTCTCACTCTACGTCCAAGGCAAATTTCTTTACTCTTAATGGCAGTCCACAATACATTCCATATTCTCCACCAGCCCTATAATCCAAACACATCATTCTTCGTACATGTTCTTTATTTATTGACCAGCTTTTGACCCTTGGCCTGGGTCAGTCAGGTGCATCTCAGTCCTCAAAGTGATATCTTTGTCTTTCAGTGATTTCAAGGGGTCTTTTGCAGCAGATTTGCCAAGTGCCATATGTCATTGATTTCTTGACGGCTGCTTCCATGTACGTAGATTGTTGATCCAAGTACAGTTATATCCTTGACAACTGTAGTCTTTTGTTTATCATGATGTTGTTTATTGTTAGAAAATTTTTTGCTTGTTACCTTGAATTGTAATCAACATTTGAAAGCTATAGCCTTTCATCTTCATCAGCAAGTTCTCCAAGTCTTTCGGCAAACAAGGTTTTGTCATCTGCATATTAAAGACTGTTAATGAGTCTTCATCCGATCCTTATGCCGTTTACTTCTCCACATAATCCAACTTCTCATATTATTTGTTCAACATACAGACTGAATAAGAATGATGAAAAGATACAACGTCCTGGCACCGACCTTTCTTGATTTTAAAACACACAGTATCCCCTTGTTCTGTTTGAATGACTGCTTCCTGGTCTATGTACAGTTCCACATGAGCACAATTAAGTATCCTGGAATTCCCATTCTTTGAAATGTTACCCATAGTTTATTATGATCCACACAGTCTAATGCCTTTGCATAGTCAATAAAGCACAAGTAAACATCTTTCTGGCATTTTCCACTTTGAGCCAAGATCCATGTGACATCATCGTTGATATCCTTCGCTCCAAGTCACTTTCTTAATCTAACTTGAACCTCTGGTAGTTCTCTGTCAATGTGATGCTACAACCATTTTTGAATTCTCTTTAGCAAAATTTTAATTACATGTGATAATTGTTTGATATTGATATTGTTTTATAATTTCTGCATTCTATGGGGTCACCTTTCTTTAGAATGGGTACAAATATAAATCTTTTTCAGTCAGTAGTTATCATCCAGATTTCTTGATATAGTCAAGTGCATGCCTCCAGCCTCGTCTTGACTTGTTGAAACGTCTCCGTTAGTGTTCCAGCAGGTCCTGGAGCCATGGTTTCCCTAAGGCCTTCAGCGCAGCTTTTGATCTTCTTGCTTCAGTCCTGTTTCTTGAACGCACACTGCTACCTTTAAAACAGTTGAGCCATCCGTTTCTTTCTGGGACAGTTTCTTTCTTCCTCATTGGATGCTTGTCATGTCACTCAATATTTTACCCACAGAATCTTTAAATATTATAACTAGAGACTTGAATTTTTTCTTCAGTTCTTTCAACTTGAGACCTGCCGAGCATGTTTTTCCCTTGTGGTTTCTTAACTCCAGGTCTTTGCACATCCCATGATAATACTTGACCTTGTCTTCTCAAACTGCCCTGTGAAATCTTCTCTTCAGCTCTTTACCTCATCATTTCTTTCATTCACTTTAGCTGTTCTACATTCAAGAGCAAGTTTCAGAGCCGCTTCTGCCATCCATTTTGGTCTTTTCTTTCTCTCCTTCTTCTTAATGACCTTTTGCTTTCTTCGTGTCCTTGATGTCATCCCACAACTCCTCTGGTCTTCAGTCATTAGTGTCTGATGCATCTGATCTGTTATTGAGATGGTCTCTAAATTCAGGTGGGATATATTCCAGGTCCTATTTTAGCTCTTGTAAACTTGTTTTCATTTTCTTCAACTTCAGCCTGAACTTGTATAGGAACAATGGATAGGCTGTGCACACTTGGCCCCTTGTTCTTGAGCTCTGTTTCCACATTTGCTGTCAGCTTGAATCCTGTGTACTCCATTTAGTGAGGTCCACATACATAGTTGCCTTTTATGCTATTGGAAAAAAGTATTTACAATGAAGAAGTCACTGGTTTTGCAAAATTCTACCATGCGATCTCTAGCAGCATTTCACTAAGACCATATTTTCCAACTACTGATCCTTCCTCTTTGTTTACCACCTTTGCATTCCAGTCACCAGTGAATCTTGATTGCATGTTTGATCAGCTTCAGACTAAAGATTTGGTAGAATTTTTTCAATATCCTCATCATTGGCTTTTATGGTTACATAAATTTGAATCATTGTCTTATTTACTGGTCTTTCTTATGACAATTGGATGTTACCCTGTCACTGACAGTGTTGTACTCCAGGGTAAATCTTGCAGTGTTATTTTTGGCAATCATTGTAACACCATTCCTCTTCAAATTGTTATTCCTGGCATAGTAATGCATAAGATTATTGGTTTCAAAATGGCCAATGCCAGCCCATTTTAGCTCACTAACAGACTAGCCTATCAATTCATGTTTCATTTTATTTTTGAAGACTTCCAGTTTACCTAGATTCATACTTTATACATTCCACATTCCAATTACTAATTGGAATTTGCAGCTGTTTCTTCTCATTTTGAGCTAGGACACATCAGTAAATGAGGCTTTGACTCTGCCGTGCCGTTAAGATCAGCATCACTTTGAAGACATGGCTCCTCCTCAGCTGTATTTTGAGTGCTTTCTAACCTGAGGAACTCGTCTTCTGGAACATATAAGTTAATTTTTTTGCTACTATTCATAATATTTTCACTGGCCAGTTTTTTCAAAAATAGATCACCAGGTCCACCTTCATTATCTGTCAGCTGAAACCTGTCCACCTCAGGTTACTCTCCTGGCATTTTAAATGTCAGTGGCATAGCTTTCAACCACATGCAAACCACCACAGTATAACAAACTCACCAATGAGTGGTGGTGGATGCGACTGTATGGTCTCTATTAACTAATTTTGTCTTTGATATAGGACTGAAAAAATTCTATTTTTTTATTAATAGAACCTTCCTTGGCCAAGTATAGATATTTCCAATAACCTTAGGACATATTTCTATGAGAATTGATTACTTTAGAATATATGTTCAAGTCACCTCTTTACCTTTTGATGGCTTGGAAGTAGTTAGATGTTTTAGAAGGGAAGAATGTTTATATAGGCTATTTAAGATTAATTACTGGAATTTTGTCAAAAAATTGACTTTGATAAGAAATTATTTATTTAACTTTACAAAAATAGAAAAAACTTACAAAATAAATGTATGCTTCCCACACTATATTGTGAATCATTCTCTTACCTTTTATTTGTTTATGATAAAGAATGAGTTTTCCCCTACAGCAGATCTTTTCCCACTGAAGTTTTTTTTCTTTCTGGGCTATTGTTAATTTAGTAATTAAATGTTTTAAACCCAGCATTGTGGTAGAGTCAAAAGCTGCTTTGATAATTCTGCCAAGTTTCCCCCCACCACATTCCTAGCTGTGAACCAGTCACATGGGCTCAGATTGTGATGGCTGAGACCCCGCTGCCCGGCCGGCACTAGCTGACCTGTGGAAGCTGCTCCCAAGCCAAACCTGATTGGCGGGGCTTCTTAGAGTCTTTTCAGGACTTTACACACCAGAGCTGAGAGTCCCACTGATCCAGGCTTATAGGTAACAGCCCTGGTAGGCCCAGTCCTGGGTCCCATCCAGGTCATCTGATGCCCCAGGCTTGTAGGCGCAGTATGGACACAAGGTTTGATAAGGAGAATAAACAGAAGTCGGGTAGTAGATGGTGTTTTGATAAACTCTGCTTACCATCCCCCTGGGATTCTGAAATCTTTTGTGCACTAGCAGTTACCCTAGTATAAAATTGCTGTTTCTTTAGAGGGCATTGCACAGTGGTACTCAAATATAGTAGAAAGAACTTGAACCTCTCAACTGGCCCAAGTGCTTTCTGAAAAGGTGCTGGTTCCCATTCACCCAGAGGTACATCAGAAGACTCAAAAGTGCACAGCCATTAAAGCCCTGTGGAACGTAGTTCTTTCTGAAATACATGGTGTTAGCATGAGTAGGATCAGTTCCTGGACAGCAAGCTTTGTTTTGGTTTGCCTTTAAGTGTAGTTTTTCTTGGACGGGGGTGGAGGTGGGTAATAACTGCCTTGCAGGGTTGTTGTAAAGAGTAACCACAGGGCTTACTACAGCATACGGGCTCCATAGACAGAAAGGCAGGCCTGTTGAGCACACAGTGCAGTGTGTCTGCATGTTCAATTCTGCCTGCTCACTCCTGAGCATATGTGAGCCTTTTCCAGTAGCTTCTTATTGTTAGATGCCATTGAGTCAGTTCGACTCTGTGTACAACAGAATAAAACACTGCCCAGCTCTGCACTATCTTCACAATTTTCACACTTGAGCCCATGGCTTCTGCCACTATGCCAATTCATCTCATTGGAGGGCTTCCTCCTTTTCACTAATCCTTTACTTTACCAGACATGGTGTCCTTCTCCAGGACTGCTTCCTCCTGACAACATGTCCAGAGTACTAGTGACCAAATCTCATTGCCCTCACTTTGAAGGAACGTCCCGGCTGCACATCTTCCAGCACAGATTTGTTTGTTCATGGCAGTCCGTGGTACCTTTAATATTCTTCGACGGTCGTCCTTTTTCATTATCCAGCTTTCACGTGTATATGGCGCTATCAAAAGTACTAGAGCTCCAATCTGGCTCACCTTAGTCCTCAAACTGATATCTTTGCTCTTGAACACTTGAAGGAGATTTTGTGCAGCAGATCTGTCTATGGATTTCTTGGCTGCTGTATCTGTGTTGTTGTTTCCATGTTGATGTTTCCTCTTCCCCAGTCATATTTTTTGAGTGTCTTCCAACCTGAGGGTCTCATCTTCCTGCCTGTAGCTGACATTATCCTGGTGCTATTCATAATGTTTTCATCTTGCAGCACTATCTGTGACAATGTTCTGCAACTGTTCATAAGATTTTCTGTGGCTAAACATTCAAAAGTATTGTGCCTCTACTTCCTCAATCTTTCTTCGTCTGGAAGCGCTGCTGAAACTTGTCCACCATGGATGCCCTGCTGGTATTTACAATACCAGTGGCATAGATTCCAGCAACACGCAAGCCAAACACAGTAAAACTGACAGATCATGGAGGTCCATTAGAGCAAAGACCAAGGAATCATCAGATAATGATGATACCCCACCCACCCACCCATGTCGGAACTAGCCTAGTTAGTTGTATTTGCAGTGTCCTTAGGTATATAATTTTCTTTAAAAAAATTTACCTGTTTTATTTGTAAAAGGCATCATTTTAATTTTGTAACTTTTTGGCTCATCATTTTGCAGCTTCTGTGAAGAAACTAGTAAATAAATGGAACTGTAGGTGCGGAGTAATAAAATTAAGAGGAAATGTCAACCTGCTATACTGTAACATCTAACTGCGCATCACCTCCTCTATTTATGCGGTGCAAACATTCTTTTCTCCTCTCACAGCCTTGAAGAGCCCAGCGGCATTCCATGAACAGATAAAAAGCCTGGAGCGAGCCAGAGTAAGAAATTTCCGTTTTAAATCCTCTACTTCTCAGCTTCCCTCTTCCCTTCTAAAAGTCCCTGTGTACAAGTAGCAGCCTTACCCTGAAATGTGTCCGTGGAGCAAATACCATACGTTCTTGAGAGACCTGCTCTATAGACGAGAGTGTGTGTTTAGGGTTTGTAGGAAATACATGGCGTTCAAATTTTGCTCTTTAAAACCAGAAACTAATTTTGTACACAAAGACTCATCTTCACAGTCTTCCTTTTGAGGACATGGACTGTTTAGGGAGGTGGACGAAGGGGGGACTCTGCTCTATGATCCCCTATAAAGGGACGGTCCAAGTGGGTCCTGACAGATCCTCAGGTTAGGGTACCTCTACATTGGACCCAGGTGAGGCCAGTTGGAGAAATGAAAGGAGATTGCTATATTCCACTCACTGAATTGTGTTTCTTCTTTTCCTTTAAAAGTGCCAATATGCTAAATTGTCTTTTTTTATCTTGTCCATTTGTTTTGGGGAAAATTTCCATCATGCACTATAGAAATTTCTTAATAATGACATCCAAGATTTTCCCAGGTTGTCATTAATGGTCTGCTAGAGTCTTTTGGCATGCATAAAGTCCATGTTAAAGCCCTGTTTGAAACTGAATGCAGTTCTGATTAAGAAAATGTCAAATTCGAATGCAAACACATCAAAGAGAATACATTAGGAGTTCTAGGAAATGTGGTGTGATCTAAGTGGGTTTTTACTTGACCTGAAGTATATACTTCAGTGCTTTTAGAGATTTAAATCACCTAAATCCTGTGTCTGTTCAAAAACCATGTTCAAAACTCTTATGTGACTTTGCCAAGTTTTGAAACATGTCTATAAAGTCCTTACTTTACACCGACATACCCTTCAAGTACCTACCAGAGGATGAATGCTGCATTTTATTATCAATTATCATGTATCTGATAATAGTTTCTCTTAAGAACTAATAGCTACTTTTCTCAAAGTCGTGACAAAAAGGAGGGTACACAGTTTATTTAAATAGAGAACCTTGAGAAGATTTTTAAACTGTGATAAATTATAAAGAATTGACAAGACTTTTTCTTTCCTTTTAAAGACTGAAAACTTCTTGAAGCATAAGATTCGGAGCCGACCAGATCGTTCCGAACTTGTGAGGATGCATATTTTAGAAGGTAAAATCTCCTTTTTCCTCAGTTTGCAGCATTTCCTCAAGAAAAGAAGTGAGAATTCTACCCCTTCCATTTCTTCCCATTTTAATAACTTTTTACCCCACAGGCTGACATCCTCCAAATAGGCTAGCACCTTGAAGACCCAAAGCTAAAATGTTCTGTTAGATACATGGGGAAGCATTGATTCTCCACATAGAACGCTCCTGGACTGACTCTGCCAACCAGCTGGTATCATAGCTGTCCGCCACTGTTCTTCTGGAAAAACATTCGTGGTCCAGAGGAGTTTTTCCACACTGAGGGATGTGTGCCCTTCACATTGGGGATACAGTTGCCACAAGTCTAACCCTTAGATTTTCAGCTCCTTATACCCTGCTGAAGAAGGAGCACAGTGGCTCTGTAGGAAAAACACTGTGAGCCACAAGGTTGGTGGTTTGAGCCCACCAGCCACTCTTCAGGAGACAGATAAGACTTTTTTTCTCCTGCACAGATTTATAGCCTCGGAAACCCTGTGCAGGCTCCTACGCGTTAGAGTCAACTCGACAGCACGCGTGCTGTGTCTACCCAGAATGTTGGCCACACCCACTGTCTTCCCTTTGGTGCTCAGGCCCATGGCAACCAGCTCACTCTGACCAGTGTTCCAAATACCTCCTTTCCACCCTCTAAGGAATTCTGGTGGCACAGCAGTTAAGCATTTGACTATTAACCCAAAAGTCAATAGTTTGAACCCATCCAGCCACTCTGCTAGAAAAAAGACCTGGTAATCTATGCCCATAACGCTTTCAATCAAGGAGACCCTGGGGGCAGTTCCTCTCTGCCCTGTGAGTCCGCATGGAGCCGATTGCACTTGGCCACAACTCCCCCACCCCAAAGGTGACTTGATGATCTAATCTCATCACTTATGAGGCTGGTAGGAACAATCCCAGTCCAACTTTGGCAAAGCTTGTGGTTCCGGCTGGGATGTTTTTTATCTCTAAAGAAATTGCATTCTTGAAAGTCACCATAAGCACCCAAGTTACACTGAGAAGACTCAGGAAGAGTCTCAGAATTGCTCCAATATTTATAGATAAATAATCAGGTGGAAGAGGATGAGGGTTGTCCTCTCTGGACCTAAAGATAGAATTAGGAGTAGAGTGAGATCAATGTTACAGACATTTGTATTAGATGGTAGCTCTGCAAAAGGAATAGCATCCTAAAGGTCAGACTGTCCAAAAACGAAACCTTCAGGCTACACCAAGGTCACTGTTAGTAGAGGTGTCTGTCTGTTGACCAACTTGCTAGGCACCAGAGGCCTGAAAAGTGAGCCACACTGATGGGTGCCTGCCTTCATGGGGCAGACCCTCTAGTGGCAGAGTCTGGTAATAAACACGCAAACGAAGAAATTACAGACTGTAACCAGGACTCTTGCTGTAGGAAACACGTTGTTGGGCTAAAGGACACATCCAGGCTGGCTCCACAGTCAAAATGTAAAGAAGCTCCAAGTATCACATCCAAAGAACCTTGGATTGTGTGACTTACTCACTATTCCAGGGGGAGGGGGTTGGGAAGTGCGCCATGGGCCTGTCTCCACTTTGGGCTGCATTCTCAGGAACCCAAAGGACAACAAACGCATTTCCAGAGCTCCACTGGTAGGGTCGAAGCAGCCACCGGCTGTCAGGGATAAGTGACTCTTCAGAGACACTGGTTCACTGGTAAGTAACCACGTAACTGACTCCTTGCGTGCCTGAAAATACCTTAACTTACCAGGGGCTGGAACAATCTTTATTAATAGAATTAAAGCCAAGGCAAATGCATTAAACTATCAAGAGGAATCCTATGTGCATTTTTTTACAAAAAGTTCACCCAACATTTAAAGAGCTATTGGAATATATAAATGAACCGTAAGTGGTAGTTTTAGAACGTCTGTTTTCAAATTGGGATATTTCAAGTTAGGAAGAATGTGCCATCTACAATTTTAAGAATACCTTGAAACTAACCCCAGCATATTTTAACATTGACCCAACTCTGATTGGAGTCGATGTTTGGCAGGCAGAAGTCTAAATTATTCGCTCAAGCTCAGTGCCTAAAATCAGACCCAACCTCACGGAAATTGGGAGGTAAGAGTAAGAGCAGAAACAGACCAAAATGCCAGGCTCTAACAATGCATTTGAAAGTTGAGCAATGAAAAAGGAAGACCAGAGAAGAATTTATATATTTGAATTATGTTGCTGGCGTAAAGATATTGAAAGTACTGTGGACTGCCAGAAGTATCAACACATCTGTTTTGGGAGCCATCTGGCTGGGTCGCTTCTTAGAAGTGGGAACGGTGAGCCTTTGCCTCATGTACTTTGTACATGTTATCAGAAAGAACCAGTCCCTGGAAGAGGACATCGTGCTTGGGAAAGTGGAGGGTCAGCAAAAAGAAGACCCCTATTGAGCTAGATTAGCACAGTGGCTGCAGCAGTGAGCTCAATACCACACCACTTGTGAGGCTGGGGCAGGAGCCGGCAGGGTTTGGTTCTGTTGTGCATGGGATGAGTGGGAGCCGACTTGATGGCACCTAACAACAGTTATTTACTTTTGAAGTATTTTCTTGCCAAACATTCCTGCTATCACTTGGATGATGCTAATGAGAGAGGGAGAAAGGCAGGCCATCCATCCTGGATCTTAACAAACATTTAAAACTCAGCCTGTGACTGATTCAAATCCTCTCATTCTCCCCCACCTCCCTGTCTGATTAGAACCAGATACTAACAAGATTGGGGCCACAGTTGTTTCTACAGGAAAATTCTGACAATAGGATATGTGCACATTATTTTCATAGACAGCATAAGATTGTGCATTTATTTCCAATACAAGACCAGGGTCTTCCCTTAAGGGATAGCTTAAGTAGACAGAATTTATGTCATCTTTATTGTATAAACAATAGTCATTGCACATCAATTTCCACCTCTGGTAGAGAAAAATAGTAAAGACAGTGGAAAGTGGTCTGAGTTCTAAGATCTTAGATTTGCCATCTTTTTCTCAATTCTTTCCAAAGCAATTAGCCTAAGTTTCCAAGAAATAATTGTACTTTGGAAAGCTGTCATTTCTCCCAAAACTTTTAATGAAATCATTCAGTGGTAGTAACAATTACAACAGAGATGAACTTTCTTATGGACAGTCAAGGTTGCCTTTTGGTAAGTATCACCTTAGCTGGTGGAAAGAGAAGTCACAGGTGTGTGGAGAGTGGCTTATGGCCTTCAGTGAGTCTTGGCTTCAACCAGGATATTTTGCCTGAAGAACAGAGAATGTCAGTTAATGCTAAGAATACTTACGGACAAGTTCCTCAAAAGACCACCTACTGTAGAACTTAGGAGGCAAGCAACTTTCAAATCTGAATTGTTTGCTTGACACCTCATCAGAATTTTTTAAATAAATTATAATCAATACTTTGAGTAGTGAAAAGAAATGTTGGTGCAAGTTACCAGAAACACAAGAAATTGACAGAATGAAACAGATGAATGGATTTTGAGTACTTGAGTAACTTCACGTTGGTTGTACTACCTTTATTCCTTGATGAGCAGATGATTTAATACTTGTGTGATGAATACTAATGTAATTAAACGTTCTTAAACAGATGCTTAATTCAATTCTGAAATGCACCGGGCTCAATCCAAGAATGTGAATTATAGTTCTTCCCATTGACCCTGCAGAGAGCCGTGTAGCCTGAGATGATGTTCACCCTCCTAGGTGTTGACTTGGCAGTGAAGCTATATCTAAAGCTGTGAACTTCTTACTGTTGGGGCCACGCCTGCCTTGCTTATCAGTCTTATCTCCAATAGCTTGTATATGTGAATTTGATTTCCACCATAAATGAACAGTAGTGATATCTCATTTTTGGCTAAGTTCTTGTTAAATTAGCCTGTGGTTATCCATATTATATAGACAGTCTAAAGCAATCCAGAACTCAAAATATAAAATGTGTCCAGGAGCATTCAGAAACCGTCGTTTTCTCCTATAAATATGCTGAGAACACATGGATAAATTAGTCACCCTGGAATTACATTAGGAAATAGAAATGCTATTCAAGTAGTCGTTAAATCTCTGTTTCCTTTTTCAGAAACGTTTGCAGAGCCATCCCTCCAGGCGACACAGATGAAGCTGAAAAGAGCTCGACTAGCTGATGATCTGAATGAAAAGATTGCTCAAAGGCCGGGTCCTATGGAACTGGTGGAGAAGAACATCCTCCCTGTAGACTGCAGTGTTAAGGAAGCTATTATAGGCAAGACTCGCAAAATGATCTCTTTTCTCTGAGAAAGAGTATTTGAAACTTGAGAAGTTAAGATAAAACAAATGTTTTTTAAAAAATGCAAAACTAGCATCAGTCATGACCATTCTTTTCTGGGTTCACTGTTGTTATGTGCCCTTTAGTCAGTTCGCAGTCATGGTGGCTCTGTATAGGGTTTTGAGGAGCAGCTGGCAGGTGTAAACCATCAGCCTTGCAGTTAGCGGTCCAGTGCTGGTCCTGTAACACCCCAGAAATTGATTGACACTTGAAGCAGTTTTCACTAGAGTGTTACCGTTGCTGTGACCTCACGGGATGTAAGCTTAGCACCAGTTACCAGTTACCTTAATGGACACAAACATCCCCCTACTTACAGTTGCGGTTTAAGACTTGGGCTCTGATTTCCTTATCCTGTTTTCTGAGTATTGTATTGCTTAATTTTTGTTTCATATTTTCACTAACTTGTCATTGCTTTATTTCTGTCTACTTTAGGAAAGATAACAATGGCTTGTTCAGTGTTACCTTAGGAAAGTGAATAGCAGAAATAGAAGTCCTCATTAAGAATGGTAATGCAAGGGGGCTTTAACAAGTCTGTGGACAAGTCCCATTATCTTTTCATTTCATTTTCCCATGAACATTTTGAAGCCTCTTCCTTCATAATAGATATCTGTAATTAACTACAAGGAGCTCTGGTAGCGTAGTGGTTACGAATCGGGCTGTGAACAGCAAGGTCCGCAGTTCGAAACTACCAGCAGTTCCGCAGGAGAAAGATGAGGCGTTCTGCTCCCGTAAAGATTTATAGCCTTGGAAAACCCTATGCAGGGTCACTATGAGTCGGAACCGACTCCACAGCACTTAACAACAACAACAACAAGAACAAGTAATTAACTACAATAAGACTTTAATAAAATAACCTATTTGATTATAATCTTATCGTAGTTAATTACAGATATGTGTCTCTTCCTTGGAGTCATGGTGTGGTACTGTATGATAAGCACTGGACTACTAACCATAAGGTTGATGGTTCAAACCCACCAGCCGCTCCTAGAAAGTCATAAGCAAGGTGCTGTGAGTCAGAACCAACTCATCAGCACTTCACCGCAACATTTCTTTTCCTGATTGTTTTGATTTCTGACATACATAGTTTTGGTTGTTTTTAAGTGTAGTCGAGTCGGTTGTAACTCATAGCAACCCTGTATGGGGTTTCCATAGAACAGCTGGTAGGTTTGAACCGCCGACCTTGCAGTTACCAGTCCAGTGCTTTTCCTGCTCACAGCAGGATTTCAGTCATATGCTTGAGCAGAAAAAAAAGTGATAATGTCCAGTGTATTGCTATTTATTCCAAGAGCAATTTTGAAAACTTAATGTTCCATTTCAAAAACTACTAGTTTATTTTACACGTGGAAACTTCGTATTTTGGGGTTAACATGGACTTAAATTTTAGGTAATTCATATTCAATATTCTAAGTAGGCAATCATCTGCGATTCTACGCAGTCCCAAAGAAATGGACCCCCCTAAGATAAGATGTCATTATGGTGAGGCTAGTCCTTGTAGGGGAAATTTAACAACAGATATTCCCTCACCCAAACTGCAGTAAAATGCTCAAGCAAACCAGATACCCGGTCACAGTCTCATTTCCTGACTACCTCTAAGAATTTTTAACAGTTGAATTCCCAATCAGGATCCAAACCAGGCCTACTTATTACCTGTGGTTGATAGTCTCTTTAATCAATCTACTGCCTTCCATCCCCTCCCCCCATTTGTTTTAACCTTACTGTTTATTTGGTGATGCAATGAGTTTGTTTGGAGTTTTGTTGATGGTGTTTGCATCCCCATTTATCACTAAGAACGATCCTCTGTCTCCTATACATCTGTAACTGGTAACTGGACTCAGAGGCTTAAGCTGATTCAGGTTTAGTTTTGTTTTAAAGCATGCATTGTACTGGAGTGTGTTTTTTCATTGGTAGGTAGATAATGTTCAGCAATATACTGTTGTTTTAACCAACCTCTAAAGTTCTCATAGAAAACAGTGTTTCTCCTTTTTCTTTTTAAGTGTGGTATTTCCAGGCCAAAACAAGTTAACCCTTTCTTTCTGCAGGCGTTGGGAAAGAGGACTACCCCCAAACACAGGGCGATTTCTCATTTGATGAAGACAGCAGCGATGCATTGTCTCCAGACCAGCCGGCCAGCCAAGACTCACAGGGCTCAGCTGCGTCCCCAAGTGAGCCCAAAGTCAGTGAATCCGCATCTCCTGTGACTGCAAACCCTCCAGCCCAGGTACTCCCTCTCTCTGACCTTTGCTTCACAGGGAAAGTGCTTCTCTCAGGGTATGGCAGCTCAGGTCATCAGACATCGTTGTTATTTTATATATGGTTCCTATCTTTGAAAAATTTTTATAAAGATCCAGTCACATACCATAAAATTCACCCTTTTAAAGTGTATGAGTCAATGGTTTGTAGTAACGATCACACCATCTAATTCCAGAACATTTTCTTCGTCCAGAAGAAACCTCGTGCCCTCAGCACTTAGTGGTCATTATCCTGCCACTGTCCCAACCATGTTGTTGCTATTGTTAGGTGTCATCCTGTTGGTTCCAACTCATGGCAACCCTGTGCACAACAGAACCACAGGCTGCCCGATCCCGCACCATCCTTTCCATTGTCCTATGGTGAGCCCAGTGTTGTAGCCACCATGCCAGTCCATCTCATTAGGGGGCTTCCACAGACCTCCATTAGCAAGCACGATGCCCTTCTCCAGGGACTGATCCCTCCCGATAACATGTCCAGAGTATGTGAGACAAAGTGCCGGGAGCTTTGCTTCCAATGTGCATTCTGGTTGTACTTCTTTGCAGACAGTTTTGTTCATTCTTCTGGCATTCCGTGGTATATTCGATATTGTTTCCCAATTCAAATGCATCAATTCTACTCCAGTCTTCCTTATTCAGTGTCCAGCTGTCTGTGCATATGAGGCAGTTGTAAGTCCCATGAATTAGTTAGGGCACACCTTAGTCCTAAAAGTGACATCTTTACTTTTGTAACACTTTAAAGAGATTTTTTGCAGCAGATTTGCCCAATGCAATATGAAGCTTGCTTTTGTAGCTTTTCTGGTCATAAGTCTGTACCCATATTGCCTGACATGGCTCCATAGTAGTCATTTGGATGGTAGACCATGGTTCTTTGAACCAGTTTTCTGTTGTTGGTCATCTAGATTTGTCTCCTGTGTTTACTGTTACACATGCATTTTCATATCAGCTCCTTTTCGAGTCCCACGCGTTTACTGCACTCTGGGGTTTGAATACATGTACTTCCAGGCTCATCTCAGATTATTCATTCAGATAAATTGCCAAATAGTACAATGGACCTGTTAGGCACAAGGTAGACACCTTTTTCTCTACTTAATTCTGAATGAATCAGGACACCAGACAGCCGTTAGCATGGCTGGAGCTTTATTATTAGTAAAGCAGAATTTTTGTCAACTCAGCCACCTAGTCTTTAATTGCATCGCGACAATTGTACCTGCATGAGAGGTTGTTGCCATCCAGAAAGATAAGACAGATTTCCCCAGATAGTGTTTCTTTACCACACTTAAGTAATGCAGTTGTTTTCACCTTACATGCTGTCTGGAGACATAAGTGATTCAATTGGGTCTTGAATTGTCGGTGAGATAGAATTCCTTTGTTCAGCAGGTATCAATTGAGCACCTGTTCTATATCAGATCCTATTAGGAACTGGGGGTCTAGTGCATGTGAAGGTGTATAGAAATATTCTTTTATTCGTTAAATTGGAAGTGTGCATTTCATAGTTTTCATGGGTGTTCGTGTTCTTTGTCCATGTCCATTGGTTTTATAAGACTCTTATACTGTACATTGGCACAGGGGTTGTAGCAGTGGGCTCAAACGTGACAACTGTGAGGTTGGTGCAGCACTGGACAGTGTTTCGTTCTGTTGTGCATTGGGTCACCATGAGTCGGAACTGACTCACGGGCACCTAACACCACCGTGCTGTACGTGACATTCACTAGTTTGCATTTGAGTTGCGTGCTGTGGGGGAGAGTATTGAAAGCACTGTGAACAGCCAGAAGAACAAACAGATCTGTCTTGGATGAAGTACAGCCAGAATGTTCTTTACAGACCTGGATAGTAAGATTTGGTCTCTTGTACTTTGGCCATGTTATCAGGAAGGTTCCTGGAGAAGAACATCATGTTTGGAAAAGCAGAAAAGAGAAAGAAACTCCAACAAGATGGATTAACACAAGGGCAGCAGTAATGGGCTCATACATGACAATAGCAGTGAGGATGTGTTTCATGCTGCTGTACACAGGGTCGCTCTGAGCCTGTACCAACTCGGTGGCACCTCACAACAGCAACGACAGTTTGCTGGGGTTCTTCTCTCCTTAGGGCATGTTTGCTTTAAGTTGAAACTCTAGAGCTACTTACTGGGAGTGGTCTGGTTCTGCAGAAGATCTTTTCCGTAAAGCTCAGCTTCATAAATTGTTGAGTTGGAAAAGAACTGAGCAGTGGTCTGCTCTAAGCCTTTTCACAACAGCAGAGCCCAGGCCCAGAGAGGGATGGCGGCTTAGGGATGGTGGATTTGCATGTTTGGTACAGCCTGCCTTCTCGTTCTTGTCCGTTTGCTCGGAACCACCTCTTTCAGTCTTCGTCTCATTATTGCCCTTGTTGCTGTGATCTGGAAAGTGCGTGGGAAAATGGAATTCAAAGAGAAGGGAAGTTTTCCATGAACTTTTTGAAACCCCCTTTTGTATATTAGTTTCTTTACTTCCTGACTCCATGCCCCCAAATCAGAGGTAAGCCTATGAGGCTAGGACTTTAAGTCTGAGGGGACCGGAGCTGTTTTAGTTTTGTGTGTGAGTGTCTTCAGTATCAGACTCAGGGCCAGAACAGAACAGGTATCTGGGCCCAGGCTGAACTGAATGAAGCCAAGCTGTGCCCTCCCATCTGTGGGTAGTGTCTCTGCAGCTCAGCTTCATCAAAAGGTAGTGTGGACGACTGCCATCAAGTTCACCATCAGCCAGGGCAGAGGAACTGCAGCCCTCCTCTAGCCAGGGGACACATGAGGGTCTGAAGAGGAGGGCAGGGGACACCAGCCCCCACCCTGGTTGAGTTTTAAAAATAGGGCTAAAAAGAATGTCAAGTATGCAAGTAAATATCATTAAAAACCAGCTCTACTTATCTCTGCCGCTCTGTGAATGAGTCAGGATTCCAGTTCGCCTTGAGTATGGCCAGAGTGGTTTTCATTAGTAAATCAGAACAGGAGGTGGCCCCTCGACTCCGGTGCTGCCTGTACTATTAGGCTTTGATGTTTGTCCCCTGACATTTGCTTTACTGTCAGTTTAGTCTGTAAGTGAGAAATGTAAGGCACAGGCAGCCCCACCCAGTAAGTGGACATTCCAGAATGCCTTGAGGGAACATTGGCGTAACAAGATTTTGTGAAGAATGAACATAAATGTTTTATTGCCCACAGATCATTTCTGGCCTTAGGTGTTAGTTTTTCTGATTCCTGTTGAAGTTGTAATACCCATTCTGCCTGCTGCCTCTGTCTCAGAAACACTTTGATGGAGCACTGGTTATAACCCAAAGATCAGCAGTTCAAACTCAACAGCTCTTCCTCAGGAGAAGGCTGTGGTGGTCTGCTTCCGTAAAGGTGATGCCCTTAGGATCCCTGTGGACCAGTTCTGCTCTGTCCCATAGGGTCTGGTCTCCATGAGGCAGCAAGGCCTGTGGGCAAAAACCCACTTTTGGAAAACAGTTGTCCCAAAGTCTATTTATGTACATTCAAGAAGAACCTCGAGGCAGATAAGGCTCCATTCCGGCTTTACCTGTGAGTGGATTTCTGTACCCTTGGCCTTGAAGCCTCTTTAAATTGTGTGCCCTTCATAAAATCCAGTGTGGGATCAGCACTCAACTGCTAACCTCAAAGTCGGCAGCTCAGACCCACCCTCCGCTTCTCAGAAACCCTATAGGGCGTCGCTGTGGGTCAGAACTGACTGCACGGCAGTTACCAGCAGCGGCAGCTTTTGCATGTTTAGACTGTCACCCGTTATAGAAGTTTCCGCAGTAAGCGTCTGACACCCTCCACCAGTCCTGCAGTTCGTGCAGCCTCCGCCTGAGAACACACTGCACTGCTCTAAGAGAGCACCCTGAGGTGGCCTTAGGACTCCTGTCATTGCCCAAAGTCCTGGTGTGATGCTGCAGGGTACAGCACTGTATCACGAGGTCGACAGTTCAAACTCACCAGCTGCTCCTTGGAAACCCTGTACAGGATCTCTGTGAGTCTGAACCAACTCGACAGCACTTACCAATAAAGAGCTTGTAGGTAGGGTTCCAGGGCCTCCGTTTGGAATTGACAGTAAAAACAAGCTTTGTAATGTCTCTGAAGTCTTTGGGATTGGTTCTGTGTGGGAAAGTTGTTTAGCTTAATTCTTTTCAGTATTGCCCACCATTTGTTTACAGTATTTGGCCAGGCATCTCATATATATGTGTAAACTGCAACATTTAATCTCAGTAGCTGCTCTTTGTGTTTGTAACTCAAGGGGAAAGTACCTTAAAACTCTGCTTCTCATTAGAGAGCAAGTTCCTAGAGGGCAGGGACATCCCCACCATGCATCCGAGCAGCCTCCCACCAGTACAGCCAGGCTTGCTGAATTACCAAATGAAAAGCCCAAGGAGATTCTCTCTACAGCGTACTTTTCCTACTTTACAATGAACATTACGTCTCCAAAGCCCACTGCCATCCAGTCAATTCCAACTCTCAGTGACTAGAGGACAGATGGAGTAGAACTGCTCCCTAGGGTTTCCAAGATTCAGTCTTTATAGGAGCAGACAATCTCTTCATTCCCACAGAGCACTTGGTGGGTTTGAACCACTGACCTTGTGGTTAACAGCCTAATACTTAACCCACTGTACCAAGCGGACTCTTTACGTCCCCAAAAGACAGTCTTATATATGTAATTAAGCAAAAATAATAAAAGAGCAATATAAACTTTCATATGTTCAGTATACTTTGAGATTCTTGATTTATAATTCTTAAAATGGAAACTCAGTATTAACAGTTTGACAGGGAGTTTCTTCACTGTCGACCAGCCTCTTGCTGTAATGGCCTAGTATCTGTTTTTCAGAAGTGTGAGCACTTTCAGACCCCTTGTGGACTAGCCCTCCCTGTAAAGCACAGGAAGAGGCAATGGGGGATGGGGGGGCGGTTTGCACAGCCGTAGGAGGGAGACCTCTTGCACTGTTGCACGCTGGTCTCACAGGCCCACAG